AAATGTCAAGGGAAAAAATCAAGGAGACGAAAAATTTGTGCAGTTTCCCTGCCGATTGACGCCGTCAAGGTTGCGATGCAATCCGCAGATGATCCAGGCGAGGGGGCAGGGGGGGGGGGGAATTGCGTCTCGGAAATTAACGCGATTTGATGACTCATTAATTATAATTAAACGGTATTTTATGTTATGAAATCGATTTTGTTTATATACTCGCGGCTTTGGCGGAGATAGCTCTTAAGTAGTCCAGGCCAGTATGTATAAAGTAAACTCGTAGATACATGGAGTGTGCTAGACACGTACGTAGCACAAATTACTTGAATGTTTGACCTTTCGGGCGAGCGATCATAAACGTAGTTAACATTAAAGAATCGATTTTGTGTTTCGCCCCGGTCGGGACTAAAATTGTGTACGTCATTGTTCATTTTTTACCTCCCCCCTCCCCGATAAATCACCGACGATTTATTTCCCAAAAAAAAGGGATCGCCAAATTATTCACCAATCTCGATGGCGAACGCAAAGATCTGTTCGACTAACTAAAAACAAAATACGTTCATTATGCAAAAACAAAAAAAACTAAAGTTTACCGAGCACGAATAAATATTTATTTAAAGTATAATCAATAATATTATTCCCACGAAGATTTCTAAAAAAAACTCCGCCCTTGTTTTTATGCTATCGACGCCCAAAATCTACAGGGTGTCCCAAGACGAACGCTGAATTTTAAAATGTAAATAATAATTCATCTAAAATATTTTCAAGTTGGTGGCATATACCGAAAGTGTTTTAAACGGAGCATCCTGTAGATTATTTCATTTATAGATTTTAAGGCAAAAAATACCATACAGATTATTGCGGCGAATATTCCAGAAATTCCGATAGACATCGAGGCGACATGAAGGATTAGCGATTGGTGATAAAGAACGAAGGCGGATATGACGATGTTCGAGAACATTCTGACGTCTCCTTGAGCACTCGAGAACATTCTAGAAAGAATGTTGTTTGCTATATAAGCAAATCAAATTGTGTTTCGAGTTCAGTTCCAACTTCGATGCGTTTGTTATGTTATAAATAATAATCACCGTTATGAATTAATCCGACAGTAAAGCGAGCAATCACCAGGAAAGCTAGAAGGGGTCGATGGGAAAAGGCGAGAATCGACCTGCCTAAGTTATGTCCAAAATAGTTTCTTAAGGGTGGTCTAAATTGGACACTTTCTTATGGAGTCACCTTTTATTTTAAGAGAGGGAAAAAAATTGCATGCGCACACCTGATGTTTAAAACATGCGATATGTTTGTCTTTACTAAGAGGATCTTTTAACATTTCAAAACAAGCATAAATCGTACAAAAATCTTGTGCATTTTTTAAAACCGAAATAGCTTAGTCAATAGTGGGGTTGGCGTTTTGATGTCACGAATAAAGATTTTTCCAGACCTCCCAATCTTTCTTTGTGAGTACCCTCCTCCGACAATCCGCTCTTGAGATATAAGGAATTATATCCGATGACGATAAGGGGTCGAAGGGAATGATTATGGTCGGTAGTAATTGCTTTCGTTACAGTACCATGAAGGATATAATCAGCCCCTCCAACTTCCTACTTTGACAAGGGGTAAGAAACGAGGACGGTAGTTGGTAGTGAATGGCATGCGTACGCAAAATAAGAGATCAATTGATTGTCGCATATAAAAGTTATGCACGAAAATATTTTTAAGTTTCTGAAATACCCGCTAGGGGGCGTAACTGCAATCTGGAATCTAAAAAAGTGATGTTTCTGTGCTAAATTCCCGGTCTTTGAAGTCGACGATAATCTTAACCTTTTTTGTTTAACAATTATTGCTGTATCTCTAAAAATGAAGTGGTGGGGGGTATTCAAAGGTTTGCCGTAAAGAACACCCTGTATCTTCGAAAGGGCTGAGCCGCTTTGAACAAACTCGGGTTAATTGAAAAGAGTTATTCTTCGGCTACAAATATTATAATATTTGAAGTTTTGTTCGTTTCACATACCGCCGCTTGAGGGCTTTTTTTCGGCATTCCGACAGAAATGGTTAATTTTCTCAAAAAAATTCGATTTTTTTTTCATGAAAAAGCAGCTAAATGATTCCTAAACAAGCTCGCGAAAACCGCATCTCGATAAGGTAAAAAGGTTCAGATTATCGTCGACTTCAAAGACCGGGCATTTTTTGTTAGGTTAATATAGCGAAATTCACAGAAACATCACTTTACAGAATGCAGTTACGCCCCCTAGCGGCCATGTCAGAAACTTAAAAATATTTTCCTGGTTTTTCTCGTAGCCGTTTTAGTAATAAATTTGTTTACCGCAAGCCTCTACGATAGATCGGTTCTCAGATACAGTAACTCGCATTCTTAGTTGGCCACCCTGTATATTAATAAATGTGTGGCATAGTCACACTGGACACATTTTAAAATCTCGTGTGTCAAAATGCTGTTGCGCATGTGCGGTGTTCTATTTACGGCGCAAAATATATCACTATCTCTGTTAGCACAGATAATATAATAATAATATAATAATAATAATAATAATTTATTGCCATAAGTTTTACATTTTGTAAAAATTGACTAGGATAACATGGCTATCTTTGTTATTATCATACTTAGATTTCGATGCGATATTTTGAAAAACTAAATCGTTTCGTAGATAGTTGGAAAAAAGTGAAAATCGCCATTTTTAAAAAGTTCAAATAGTAACAAAGGGAGCTATAGAAAAAAATTTCAAATAAATGTTGCAAGATTCAATGAACGTAGAAAATGTATTTTCAGGATTTCAGATTCGTGTTTTCACGATCAAAAACCCTCAGAAACCAAATTTTGTCGAAATCAGAATTTGTTTTCGCACCCCCAACATAAGGGGGCGCCTTTTCCTGGTAGGAATTGAAACATCGGTAAGAGCAAAATCCATTCAAAGACGTGCCACCAGTCTCTATAACTCTTATGGTTGTAGAGAAAAAAATTTATGAAGAAATGTAGCGTAATCACCTTTTTAGATTCCAGATTGCAGTTACGCCCTCTAGCGGCCATTTCAGAAACTTAAAAATATTTTCCTGGTTTTTCTCATGGCCGTTTTATTAAATTTTTTACCGCAAGCCTTTACGATGGATAGGTTCTCAGATAGAGTACCTCGCATTCTTAGTTGGCCACCCTGTATATTAATAAATGTGTGGCATATTTACACTGGACACATTTTAAAATCTCGTGTGTCAAACTGCTATTGTGCATGTGCGTGTTCTATTTACGGCGCAAAATATATCACTGTCTCTGTGAGCACAGTGCTCCCTATTGAAAGTAAATAGGAGGCTATATCTATGTATACAGGGTGTCTTAAATTGACTAGGATAACATGGCTATCTTTGTTATTATTATACTTATATATTTCGATGCGATATTTTGAAAAAGTAAATCGTTTCGTAGACAATTGGAAAAAAAATGCAAATTGCCATTTTTAAAAAGTTCAAATATTTTAGTAACAAATAGAGCTATCGAAAAAAGTTTCAAATAAAAGTTGCAAGATTCAATGAACGTAGAAAATTTCGTTCAGGATTTCAGATTCGTGATTTTCACGTTCAAAAACCTTCAGAAACCAAATTTCGTCGAAATCAGAATTTGTTTTCGCACCCCCAATTTAAGGGGACGCCTTTTCCTGGTAGGAATTGAAAAATCGGTAAGAGCAAAACCCATTCAAAGACGTGCCACCAGTCTCTGTAACTCTTATGGTTGCTGAGAAAAATATTTATGAAGAAATGTAGCGTAATCACCTTTTTAGATTCCAGATTGCAGTTACGCCCTCTAGCGGCCATTTCAGAAACTTAAAAATATTTTCCTGGTTTTTCTCGTAGCCGTTTTAGTAATAAATTTGTTTACCGCAAGCCTCTACGATAGATCGGTTCTCAGATACAGTAACTCGCATTCTTAGTTGGCCACCCTGTATATTAATAAATGTGTGGCATAGTCACACTGGACACATTTTAAAATCTCGTGTGTCAAAATGCTATTGTGCATGTGCCGTGTTCTATTTACGGCGCAAAATATATCACTGTCTCTGTTAGCACAGTGCTCCCTATATTGAAAGTAAATAGGAGGCTATGTCTATGTATACAGGGTGTCTTAAATTGACTAGGATAACATGGCTATCTTTGTTATTATCATACTTAGATTTCGATGCGATATTTTGAAAAACTAAATCGTTTCGTAGATAGTTGGAAAAAAGTGAAAATCGCCATTTTTAAAAAGTTCAAATAGTAACAAAGGGAGCTATAGAAAAAAATTTCAAATAAATGTTGCAAGATTCAATGAACGTAGAAAATGTATTTTCAGGATTTCAGATTCGTGTTTTCACGATCAAAAAAATGTGGCGAACACTTTTTTGAGGGTGGCTCCAAAATTTGACATTTTCAGTTTTTCGGTGATATGTCAGTTATTTTCAAACATTTTTTAGTAACAAACGTAACTTTGCCCTCAATTGATCTGCACTGTATCTCTCACCGTTGCGGAGATGGTGAGCTACGAATTTGAACCACCCTGTACAGATGCTTTTTTGTATGTTGTCGTAGGTGCGCACTTAGATAAGAGTACGTTAACAATAGAATAAGGAAGTGGAAAAACGACATGAAAAAGAGAGGGACAAGTTTTTAAATAGAAGTTTTCGTCTTTCAGCTTTGGACGTTTTTCTGGAGTAATGTCTATTGATATTATAAAGTCAGTTTGTTGCAGCATGACTGTGAGTTGTACTTTTTTGCATTGGGCATCGATTATTACGAACAGATCAATTTCATAGACTATCGTTACCGAACCACTTGGTCGGTAACCATTATCGTTAAGTAACGATACAAGGTTTTATTGTTAATATCGTTAAAATAACGATAACTTAAGTTGATTTTTTAACGCTTCATCGATTTACGATTTTTACACGAATATTGCTGCCCTGAGTATGGCCTTTTTTATCTTTGCGTGACTCGCTTAACTTTTAAACAGTTGCGCAAGGACTTACCTCGTAAAACTTCGAAATTATCGCCAATTTGAAAGCTAATGGTGACGCCCGGATTAACGTGGAAAAGTACGACGTACTCGGAACCGTTCTGTCCCTGACTAGGTCCAGCGCCGAATGCGTTCGGCAGTTGCGTTTGCGGCTCGAAGCCGGGACCGAAGTAGAATTTGGCGGGCGACGCGGCGCCGCCGCCGCCGTTCGTCCCGTTCACCTCGGAACTTTCGGATGGATAGGAAAAGTGATAGTAGTACGGTATGTGAGCGTGAGGGTACGGCGGATGGTGGTGGGCGTGATTCTGGTGGTGGCGCGGTTTGCGCGTCGTCGCATGGTGAGCAGCGGGATTTGCAGGTTTCGGCTCTGCCATCGCCGAATCCTCTTTTACTTTCACCATTCGTTTGTGTCACAGATACGTAACCTGAAACAAAAGGGCAATTAAATTAAAGGCCGATTATTTTGAACGCGGCGACGAATGAGTATATTGTAAATACCAGTTTACCCACTTTTTTCAGTCGCTCCAAGTGTTTTAATTAAGGCAAATGACCTAAACTGGCCTTCACATTTTGTAAAGTCGAGCTAATCGCAAGATTAACCACATTGGTGTCGCCAATTGCTGGAAACTTTGCGATAGGTCTTCAACTGCTGAAGTTGAAGGCTACCAAGAGATCCACACAAGCAGAAAGAACTAAGCAATGTATTTGAACAATATTGGACCTGCTATTGACCTCTGCGGCACACCATTCGCCAAAAAAAGGGGTTTGTTTATCTAATCGAAAGATAGCGAGCTGTTTTAAAATCGAAATACAGCAGTTGTGCAAGAAACGGCAACAAAAAAACGTGATATGGCACGATATGCTTCTGTGTGTGTAAACATTTCGATATGCAATAAAATGCTTTTTTCCCACGAAGGCAGTATGCAGATTTGTTCCAATTCCTTTACGGAGAAGAAGACAAAGGAGAAATCACTTCGACTAGGTGGAATTATTTAATTTACAAGGTGGCAGGTTCCAGAGGGCGCTTCGCCCACGCACTCAAATAACCCCAGAGAGCGATAACTCCATTATCACAACAAACGCGTCTCTTAATTACGTTTAATGCGGCGCTAATTAGAATCAATTAATTTTATATTATCCGTAAGGTGCGTCGGTTTCGCCTCGTCGCCAGTTCGATAGTATCGGCGAGGGAAAGGACGGGGGAAAATCAAAGCACGATACGATTCCGGGAATGAAAATTAAAAATTTCCCAGTAGTTGTGGTAATGATAATAATCAATGATGGCGGGCGTTTCGTTGAAATTATTTGCAACGCAACGGTTGTTTATTAAACTTACGTAAATTCGTGGCAAAGAGATTGTGCCGTTTTCGCGTTTGACGTCCGAGTTGGATAGAGACGAAAATCGTTCGTGTGCCATCCGCGCGCGATTTCAGTTCTTGTAGAATGTTGTTTTTCTCTGTGAAACCAGTTTACCTATTTTTAATTTATTTTTATCGGGAAGTCCGCGACCTTCGTAAGCAATAAAAATGTATGTATCTCCGCCGTGGACGCGCGCTCACGCTACACCATTCGTTTGCGACATTGCCATTGCAATTTCTTAATTGCATTCATTTCCAATGTACACGTCGGGATGACCCGATTTTTAAAAAAATGTGTTCTTGTTTGCGTTTTGTCGCTCTGGAAATAATTTTCAAACTTTAGAACACCATTTTTAAGTTTTGTCCGTCCGTCTGTCTATTACTCGTCTAACTAGAGAACGAAAAGAGCCAGCGATGTCAAACCTTCGCCAATCGATTTCTACGAGTTCAAGGATCATGCTATTGAATATGAGCCGGATTAAAAGTCTGGTTTCCGAATACGAGTGAATAATGACTCGTAAAGCAATATTTTAACGGGGTAGTCTCATCAGCATAGTGCAAGAGTAAGATTAATATTTGCCACTTAACTGGAATAATCAACGGCTCGATTCAATATGCAATTGCTCTCCGGCGGAGACAAAAATGGTGTTTCTGGATGTAAAAGTTAGGCATTCATTTGAATAAACATTTATATATACGCCGACGAGACAGACGTAAAGTAAAAATGAATTTTCAATTGATATATGAAATCGTCACATTAGAGACAACCTTGTCAGTAACCTCTACGTCAATACAACCCTCTAACACCTCCTCCGCAGGCGCCGAGACGAATTTATTCGCATGTCTCCCGTACTTATTTTATAAACAAGCGCTGATTTACGAATTAAAACCTACACGTGGATGTTATTAACCCCCAATTGCGCTACCCCGCGACAGGTGGGGCTGAACACAATTTCCGATGAGACATTTCCCCATCGATCGTCGCGGGAGACAAAGCCAACAAAAGGTTAATTTATCAACCCAATAAGTAATAATTGTCGGTGATTAAATAGAGACATCGATGAAAATCGTGTCGACATTTAAACGGGATCGGTGCTCCTGCGACATGAACTGGAACGCGCGGAATGCAGTTGACCAAGCCGGACCTAATGCACTTCGTCACAAAACTCGCCCCCCTCCCCCCTCCCCTTGATTGCGCCGATCTTTAATTGTGTATTGATACAAAAGCCGAATTGCAAATTCGTTATTTATTCGTCAAGCTCAATTACGAGATTTTTTCCTCTAGAAACCGTCAAGACGCTTTTAAAGTCCTCGTGCGGGATCCAAGGGAGTGTGCTCATTTTTTTGACAAGCATTCCCCACTTCGGACGTCCCGTTCACCTATAATTCGCATTGTAGAAGAAGAAAAATCACTACGTTAGTATAACACGCTCGGAGATGGCGCCCAGATGTCGCCGCATCCCTAAAGTTGTTAATTACATGGCCCCGGTAGGTACATGTACACTCCTCGTCTTTCTACAAGCGTTCTTCCACGGACCGGCATTCGCTGCCAGCCAGCCAGCCGGTCAAAGTGAGTTTACAAATAAATTTGCAAAAATGCACTTCCGTATCAGGAGACTATAATACCCGAGATGGTCTTGCTGTTCCTAAGACACATGGAATTAGTTGGCAAACTCTTGTAAAACATTTTTGGCTACCAAGAGAACATAATGAACGAAGAAGTATTTTTCTATACCATGAGAATTTTGCAAATTCTGTATCAGGAGAATATAATGCACGAGGAGGTCTTTCTGTTCCTAAGACACATGGTATTTGCTGACAAACTTTCGGAAAATATTTCTTACTACCAGGAAAACATGATGAGCGAAGAGCTCCTTTTCAATCACTATGACAAACGCTTTATTTCGGTTTAAATTTTTGCCTATTCTATATCAGGAGAATATAAAACCCGAGGAGGACTTTCTGTTCTTAATAAACGTGGTATTTGTTGGAAAACTCTTGTAAAATTTTTCTGGCTACCAGGAGAATGGACGAAGATGTCTTTTTCTATCTCGTTTTCTACCACGCTTTACTTTGGTTTACATTTTTGCCAATTCTGTATCAGGAGAATATAATGCACGAGGAGGTCTTTCTGTTCCTAAGACACATGGTATTTGCTGACAAACTTTTGGAAAATATTTCTTACTATCAGGAAAACATGATGAGCGAAGAGCTCCTTTTCAATCACTATCAGAAACGCTTTATTTCGGTTTAAATTTTTGCCCATTTTTCTGGCTACCAGGAGAACATAATGGACGAAGATGTCTATCACTATGAGAAATATTTCAACGCTTTACTTTGGTTTAAATTTTTGCCAATTCTGTATCAGGAGAATATAATACACGAGGAGGTCTTTCTGTTCCTAATACACGTGGCATTTGTTGGCAAACTCTTGTAAAACATTTTTGGCTACCAGGAGAACATAATGGACGAAAAAGTAATTTTCTATCACCATGAGAATTTTGCCAATTCTGTATCAGGAGAATATAATGCACGAGGAGGTCTTTCTGTTCCTAATACACGTGATATTTGTTGACAAACTTTGAGAAAATATTTCTTGCTACCAGGGCAACATGATAGACGAAGAGGTCTGTTTCTATCACTATGAGAAGTATTTCAACGTTTCAATTTGGTTTAAATTTTTGCCAATTCCGTATCAGGAGGGTATAATACCCGAGGTGGTCTTGCTGTTCCTAATACAAGTGGCTTTTGTTGGCAAACTCTTGTAAAATTTTTGGCTACCAGGAGATCATGTCTTTTTCTGTCACTATGAGAATTACCATGTATATCATTTTTTTTACCATGTAAATTTCACACACCGAAAAACACAACATATCAGAACAATGTGGTGATCAATTAAAGTTCGCCCTTTCAATGTTGCGAGTATAGTAAAGAAACCAATTTCAGATCTTTGAGAAGAATATTAAAGTAATCGTATGGTTATCTTGTAGGTAACTAGCAAATCACTGTACAGGGTGAATCAACGATTTCGGGGGGTGCTATTGTAACGAAAGTTTAATCACTTAATTTATTGATTTATAACAGCGCAAACTACTCACTACTGCGGCGTTAAAATTGGAACTGTCCCGAAACGTAATTCGATTTGTTTATAGTAAACTCGAGTGCTGCCGAATGATCTCGAACAAAACACGTCATATTTCCCGGAAAGATTGCGTCACATCTGCCTTCTCCTTTGATCGCCGATGACTAATCTTTCATGGCGCGATTTCTGCAATATTTGCTACACTATTGTGGTCCTAAGAAAGGTTGTGTCGAGACTGTGTTTTTGTATGATGAAATGGTAGAATTTTTTGAATTATACAGCGTGCGATCACAAAATTTGGGAACAAAAAGTTAAATTTTTTAATGCAACGCCTGGTATTTGGTACCAAATTCTAACGTATTATACAGAGTGTTTCATGAGGAATGGTGTTAATATGTTATAAATTTGTTCATTTTAAGCAGAAAAGTTCCTTAAATCATGTGTTCAATTGTCAAAAATACTTGAGATACAGTCAGTAAATGCACGCCGGAACAATAGACAGCGGGGTTGTTAAATCAAAGATTTCTGGCCTTGGGGGTACAAAAGGAGCCGTTTTCTTTGATACACGACAAGAAAAACCTACAACTTGCATTTACGATCCTAGCCACCTTCAAGCCGTTCTGCTGCCACGCCTATTATAGAGTAAGATCCCAGGACCTCCAGACCTTACTTATTTTCTGATGGACAAAACATGTACAGGGTGAGTCAACGATTGCGCGGAGTAACTTAATGTCTTTGAAGATAAGATTTTTCGATAGAGTGCTTTGGTATTATGATATGGTTGAATATTCTCCACATTTTAAAAATATTTGGAATTGTACAGGATGCGCTCACAAAGTAGGGCGCTAAAATAGTACATTTTTTAAATGGAACCCTCTGTATTTGAATGCATTTTTTAATTCTAATACGGGAATTTTTCGAAAGAAAAAAAAATCCCCTTATGTGATGGTTTTGTTCGTCTGTTCCTCTTCTAACTCGAGAATGAAAAGAGATAGCGATGTCAAACTCAAGAATCAGTGCTGAGCCGGATCAAAAGTCTGGTTTCCGAATACGAGCCGAGTGGCAAAACTTACAAATTTACATGTTTGGAGGGATGTAAAGTGTGCGCATAAGGGTGATTCCTATGGTATCCTGCCTACGCGTTGGACGTATAGGGGGTCCTAGGGGAGTAATTTTGATATAGGACTCTTTGGTGCCGGAAATATCAAAATGGGCGCCAGAACCAAATTTATCTTTTCTGGAATTTACGCCTGTATGTAGGCAACAACCAACGCCGAACGCGAGTTCGGGGGTCGCGGAGGCGAATGCAAGCGAGTTAGCGCGAGGAAATGCGACATGGGAGGCGGAAGGAGGAAAACGACGTTCAAAAGTCAATAAGGTTTACAAGTTGTTCAACGTGGCCACGGTTGGGGTTTTTCTCAAATTGCTTCCTAGCATCTAGCCAACTATTATTTAATCTAATTGCCATAATAGTGTTTATTATTGATACGCGTCGTTGCAGGACTGGGATTTCGTGGGTTTAAAAACAAAATTCTGAATCAAGTGTCAGCCAGCAATGCGGCCGTCCTGAGATCGGCTCCGTGTGTGAGCGCCGGCGGTTGGGTTGCGCTACCCTCAGTGCGGCGAGAATTAGAGGTAAATTTGGCTTGGCACCGCTTATTTTAGTATTTTCCGACCCAAGTGTCCTATTATGCAAATACTCCCCTAACGCACCCTCACTTCTAACAGCTCATCACCAGGGATTACAATATCTCTCACCCAAACGGTGGCTAGGGTACTCAAGTAGGATATCACCCTGTATATATTTGGGTCATATCTGGTGATGCCTACCATTATAGACCCAAGAGCCCGCTCTTTTCACTTCCGAGCTCAAAATTAGGGGTCCTGGAGTTGACCGTGAAGACCAAGATCAAGGCGAAGGGGGGGGGGGGCCTTTAGGTATGCAACTTTTTTCCAAAAAAGATGATTTAATCACCTGGTATGTTATATACCGTGTGTCCCAGATTGAACGCACCATAGGCAAACGAAATTAATGCATTTTTTTCGCGAAGAATCCACGAGGCCTGTGATATGTATCTGACTTTGGCGTTCAACGTACGTTATTGCGCTTGCCTGGTGCTAGAAAGAGATTGACGCTAAATTCAAAGGTCTCGTGGAGATTTGCTTTTACCTTTGAATGTGGCCTTTGGGAAATCAAAAAAAATCGCAAGGGATGGTAAAGATGATTAAGCCCAGGATCCCAAATGTTCCCTAATTTATCAACGACCCCCCCCCCCCCACACACACACACGATGGGTTTTTTTTTATTGAATGTCTGAAACGATTTCAAACATCATGTCATAGTTGCAACAAAACAAGTAGAAAAACGACAGATTTCTTTTAGGGTAATTCCCTGACAACCCCTTGGGGCCAACGCCCTTTGACTTCTGAATTCTTCGTCTTCCTTCAACTCAGATTGGTTCTCAGTCAATCTAACTTGTGACATAATTGACGTTCGTAATTAAAATTGTACCCAAATCGATTTCGCAGACGTTTCCCCCCCGATTACGATAAACAATGAGGGACGTTATTAAGGCAATCGAAATAATCCCGCGCGGCGGTTTGCCATACTTTCACACGGACTAAGCCGTGTATTACGAGGTAAATGAACTTATTTTGCATCACTACACGAACGTACTGTACAGAATTTGACGAGTGCACCTACAAGTACTCAGGCACAGAATCCGAAAGTACTTACAGACTGCATTCCGTTCACTTCGAGCTACATTGTAACAAATTGGAGTCTTGCATCAAATGAAACAAAGTGCGATATTAAAGAATCAATTAATCAATTATAATGTGTTAAGCTTTCAACTCGAGAAGATATCATTGCCGATTAGTGTTATTTTGTATCAGCTTTCTAGAAAAAGGTCATTGATTCTTGTGAACCTATAATTTGAAAGTAGGTTCCATTTGCCAGCGAATGGACGAAGGGTACTGCCCTCCAAGGACGTACGTGACCTACACCTGTAAGCCACCCCCTGTACGGATACGCCACTGGCGAAATTCGCACGTTTCCAAATTAACGAATGACGTAAACGCGTTTTGTTATTAATTTGCGGGGACAATTTCCCATACACGCCGGTCGACTTCCAACTTAAAAATAAACAAATCCCAGATTGGGTTTACCTAGAAACACACACAAAATCGAAAGCTCGAACGGGGACTGGACAGGCAACCGCATTTCTAAACCGAGCCGAATCGCTAACGAGTTTAATTGCCAGTTTAATTAATGAGTTAAGCCAGCTATTCGGCCTTATTTTTGTATTAAGCAGAAAAATTTTGACAGATAACGCCCACATGCCAAAGTCACGTTTGAATATGTCATCGGATTTGAGGCGTTCCGCCGCTTAACAGCGTCGAAAGTTAATTAAACAGGCGTTCGCGTTAAGTTTTCTTTCGGTTGCCGCCAGTTTACGCGTAATACAAGCGAGGTACTCACCGGATTTTCAAAAAACATCTGGCTGTTAACGAGTTACGAACACAGAAACCGCCATGTTTATTGATTTTCCTCGAACGGACCGTTTTTACTGCGCACTGGAATGCGTCCCAGAAGAAGTTAAAGATCTAAACAGTCGGCGTCGTTCGGAAAGTCGACGGTAGATGGTGATGGTGAGCGACGGTGGATTTTCGAATACACCCTCGAGCTCAGAACCGTCTGAAACAAATGCTAGCTTGTAATTTCAGCCAGTTGGATAGGCAACACATCTATCACTTTTATAAATGATGGGATTGAAGAACACATTTCCAAAGATGCTGTTATATTTATTTGTTAGCGTGAAGTTTACTGAATATTAATATTGCCCTAGTAAGTGATAGACAATTTTAATAACTTTCATATAGAAAAATTTTGCATACCTACATTCGATATTGACCGAGATACCTACTATAGTCCATACATAATATAATGGACACCCTGTATAAGCACAACTTTTTTCAAAAAGGCGTTAAAACATTAATAATATTTATGTTCATATTGATTTGTAAATTATGTTCGAAAGCGATATAGTTTTAGAATAGTCACTACAATAGGGGGTTGAAATATTCATCCCTTTTTGTATGGAATGAAAGGGGTTAAACTGAAGTAAGCCCACTTTTCTTATTTGATAATTGTATTCGAAAGCGCCATAATTACACAGTGATTCAAATACCTTCTAAGTGCTATCATCCCCTATGATAGGGGCGCAGCGTACGGAAATTAAAAGCACCATAACTTTATAATCGAGGTGGTTTTTCGTATGAAGCTTATGGTTATAGAGGCATCACACAATTTCGTTAAAATATGTACAGGGTGGCCAACTAAGAATGCGAGCTACTGTATCTGAGAATCTATCCATCGTAGAGGCTTGCGGTAAAAAAATTTATTACTAAAAACGGCCACGAGCAAAACCTGGAAAATATTTTTAAGTTTCTGAAATGACCGCTAGGGGGCGTAACTGCAATCTGGAATCTAAAAAAGTGATGTTTCTGTGAATTCCGCTATATTAACTTAACAAAAAAATGTCCGGTCTTTGAAGTCTTTGACGATAATCTGAACAATTTTTGTTTGACAATTTTTCCTGTATCTCTAAAAATGAAGTGGCGGGGGGTATTCAAAGGTTTCCGTAGAGAACACCCTGTATCTTCGAAACGGCTGAGCCGATTTAAACAAACTCGGGTTAGTTCAAAAGAGCTATTCTTCTCTTCGGCTACATATATTATAATATTTGAAGTTTTGTTAGTTTCACATATCGCCGCTTGAGGGCTTTTTTCGACATTCCGACAGAAATGGTTAATTTTCTCAAAAAAATTAAATGCATTGGTTCGATTTTTTTTTCATGAAAAGTCGCTACAGGATGCCTAAACAAGTTCGCGAAAACAGCATCTCGATATCTTGAGATATATATTTTTATATCGTGATGACCAGCATTTTGGGCATTTACGGCGGCATTAAAAGCTTTATTTTTTAAATCGATCCACCTTAGGGCCACAAATTATATAATAAAAATAATTCCGGAAAAATTAGCTTAAAAAAATAAAATTTTGAGGGTATAAAATTTTCTTTGGCCTAAATTTTAGGTTAGGAACAAGATATCGAGATGCGGTTTTCGCGAGCTTGTTTAGGCATCATTTAGCTACTTTTTCATGAAAAAAAAAATCAAACCAACGCATTTAATTTTTTTGAGAAAATTAACCATTTCTGTCGGAATGTCGAAAAAAGCCCTCAAGCGGCGATATGTGAAACTAACAAAACTTCAAATATTATAATATTTGTAGCCGAAGAATAACCCCTTTCAATTAACCCGAGTTTGTTAAAATCGGCTCAGTCGTTTCGAAGATACAGGGTGTTCTTTACGGAAACCTTTGAATACCCCCCACCACTTCATTTTTAGAGATACAGGAAAATTGTCAAACAAAAAAGGTTCAGATTATCGTCGTCTTCAAAGACCGGACATTTTTTGTTAGGTTAATATAGCGGAATTTACAGAAAAATCACTTTTTTAAATTCCAGATTGCAGTTACGCCCCCTAGCGGCCATTGCAGAAACTTAAAAATATTTTCCAGGTTTTTCTCGTGGCCGTTTTAGTAATAAATTTTTTTACCGCAAGCCTCTACGATGGACAGGTTCCCAGATACAGTACCTCGCATTCTTATTTGACCACCCTGTACATAGGTACATAGAAATTTCGGAATCTTTAAAATAAAGACAACTTGTGGATAAAAGGAATCTGAAAAAAAGGATAGGAGAGTAGAAAAGGGGTAGGTAAGTACCAAAGGCGATTGGACTCGTCTTTAGTGCCCTCTGATCGCCTTTTACGATCTCCAGGACGGAAGTGGGCCAATTCTATCCCCGAACCCACAGGGGATTATTATTATTCTTATTCTGCTTCTAATTGAGAGAAGAATTAAAATATCGAATAATGTACAGGGTGTTCCGATAACAAAAATGAAACTTTGATGTGCCACGTCTTAATGACCAACCCTGTATAATTAAACGAGAGCGTTTTATGTCCCCCAAGTGTTTTCCCTGCTGCTTCCTTGAGTGTTTCGGCGATCTTGTTGCAGGATGGTCTCCCTTCCCCCTTTTTGTTTCTGATGTCCTGCTCCCATCTATACACTTCCTTTCTTTCCTTTCCCTTGTCAGAAGGTCCAAATCCCACTATTCAGTTCTCCCGCTTTGCTCTCTGTCCTTTCCTTCTTCTTCGCTATAACCGTTAGTCTTCTATGCCTCTGCAGGTTCTCTCCTTGTTCCCTCCTCCTTTCCGTCAGTCATAGTTCCTTGTCGCAGCCATCCCACTTGTTACTTTGGTTTCCTGTTTTCTTAATTCGTCGTCAATTACTTTCCTTTTCATTGGGTCGTTTGCCCCTTGTACGTTCCACGTGACTACACTCATGCTGTTCTCGGCATGGTACTCCTCTCGCTTCGAATGTAAGTTTTAATTAAGCCTGGACCTGCCTCGTGTCTAAAAGTTGACGAGTTCTTTACTAAATTAAACAAAGTAAACCCAGAGCTCACTAAGCAGAAGGAGGAACCAAAGAATATGTACCAATGACAGCATGGGAGAAGCTTCTGAAGGAGGAACAAGAACCACAGGTCCAGCTATTGGAGGAGCACGACTACAGGACACTACCGCCACCTACCACGTTGAAAAAATAATGGAGATAGTAGGAAGACTGAAAAAGAGGAAAATGCCAGGGCAGGATAGGGTCCAGACCGAATTACTACAATACGCATCAGAATAAAGGACCTACACGAATTAATTCAGGAGGTATGGATCAGGAACTTGGTCCCCAAGAAATAACAGCAGACAGTGCAGATCCCCGTCCCAAAAGTCAGGTCACCACAAGGAACAGACGATTATAGGAGAGCTTTGGTAATTTTTGAAAGCCTTCAAGGGCTTAGATTTTCTTTTGCTACTTGAAAAAATAAAAAAACAATTGCAAACATAAATATTCTAGAGTTTTGACAATTTTTGTTTCTTGCAATAGTCCTTAAAGTAAGGGAGTTATGAGGATTTTTCGAAAACCGGGACACCAAATCAAAAATTGCAACTAAGAATAGCTTCAACTGTCGTTTGCGGGTGTAACGACTTAGTATTTATTAACACCCCGTATAAATAACTCGGTAAGAAGTACAGCGGGGTGTGAGGTGAGACGGCGCAGCCGCCGAAACCGAACGTATGTCTTATTCAAGAAAAGGAGATTTCCCAAAGGAATGATCGCGTGCGTTGTGCATTAACTAAGATTTAAAAAAATGTGCTATTGTTTGCGTTTTGTCCGTCCGTCTGTCCGGACGCACTTCTGCGGTTTTGAGCTACACACTTTTCGGAGGATGGTCGTAGAGCCCTGGAATTTTTTGCAATATGTAGCCCATACCTTGAAGGTGTGCCAGACGGCCAACAAATTTTGCAGTCTCAGGGGGGAGCCCCCCCCCCTCCTCTGCATTAATTATTTCCTGAAATGCTGTATTTGAAAGTAAAACGTGCGTAACTTCTACATGCGACAACCAACTGATCTCAGAATTTGTATACGAATGCCCTTTAGTGGTGGCAAGTCAAATTTTTGGAAGGGGGGGGGGGCACACGTTTTACTCTTCATTGAATTCTAATGGAAAGTCTCACCGAAATGAATTGGTTTGCACAAAATATAACTTTCCTGCGCGACTTCTTTCTGAGATCAGTAGGTGGTCGAGTGGAGGAGGGAGGGGGTTGAAATTTCATTTTTCATGGTATTCCAATTAAAGGTCCCAACGAAAGGACTTAATTTGTACCAACCCTGAACTCCTTATCGTAAATAATTCATTATACCCCAAGAACAGATTGTTGAAGGGAGGATGGTACTCACAAAGAGCGATTGGGACGTCTGGAAGAAATATATCTATTGTCGATGTCAAAACTTTACGAGCGAATATCTCAAAAACGCTTTGTCGGAGGGAAGTACCCACAAAGGCAAAATGAATCATCTAACAAGAAAGAAAACATCGATAAATATAGCATGCTACTACTTTATAACGCAAATTTGTATTCCTTACCCTTTCTAGAATAGCCATAGGGGCCTTCCTTATCTCGGGCACTGTGTATGTTACAGTCAAAGTAATTAATGCGCCGATTATTAAGAATTCGAATATGGGATTCCTTTTTAATAATTTTCAAAATGCCCGAGAAACCCGTAATAACTTATTTTTTCTTATGGACTCCATTTTGAATTTTGAGATTGCGTCTTTTTTTGTCTTTACAACAATGTACCACACATGGTGGTTTAGTAACAAAGAGTGCCTTGAAAAAACAAAACAAAGGTTCAATTATGTTCAGATGAAAATTGCATTTTCTCAACACAACTAGTTCCTGCCACCGCCGCAACCATACAGGTGGATCAAACTGTCAAAACTTTTGTTTCACAACAAAAGAAGGAACGTTTTGTTTTTCCAAAAATTGCATGTGATACAAAACCACCACATATGATAAATCGTTGTAAAGAGAACAAAAGAAATTCAAAATGGCGTCCATAAGAAAAATTAAAGATGTCACGTGACACTTTCTTTGCGATATTTTCAAAACTATTGAAGATATTTTAAATTTCTTTTCAGATTATTATTCACCACGATAATTTCAACTTTGCCGTCATTTGGACAACATTCGATCTTTTAAGATAAGCGAGAGTGGCGCTCGAAAAATGGACGCCCTGTATAATACCTGAAAAATTACAAACGTAATGGTGCTGAACAGCTTACGAACGGTGTTCACGTCACTGAGATGTTCGCTCCTAAAACATAGAAATCGTAAATAATGTTGTACAGGGCGTTTATAACAAAATTGTTTAATACATTGAACGTTCACTATGTATAAATATTTGTTAATTTTTATTTACAAAAAACAGACGTATATTATTTACAAATGAATTAGGTACATAATGAACAGTGACAGTTTATAAAATTTCTTTATCAACGATATATCAATCAACTATAGAAATTTTCAGTAAAATTGAGTAAAACACCTCATCATAGATAGGTAGGTTAACAGGGGGGGTAGGGGGAGGAATTAAATCTACGAACATCTCATAACAAAAACATTTGTATAAAACCACGTAGATAATTGAAGTGGAAGAGTGGTGTTTCCTTTGGCGTTGAGCTTGAGCAGTCGCAGGGTGCCACAAGAGTAGGTAGTCCAATAAAAACCACTCTGTATACGCTATAACGGATCAGTTAGTAATCAACAAATAAAACGACACAATTAGTCTCATGTTATAATTGGACAGACACTAAATCACAGTCATTTAAATCCAAAGTTTCGTGTTCGGGGGTCACGTCTGGTTTAGGATTCGAATTGGGAAACTCCCTGTTCAGTGATTGCTATACGGATATCTCCTGGATGTGCACTCTCTTTTTGACGGTGCCGCCGGGCGGGTTGCTCGAAGTTCGCATAGGTGGCGCCGGTTTGTCTATCGTCGGCTTTCTTGGCAGTGTGTTTTGTCGGGGTGGCGGGGGCGCGTCCGGTAGATTTGAATTTTTTGTCATCGTATAGCACGGGGGTAACTCCTGCTTTTCGTTGTGGCAGATTGCGGGCGACTGGGGTCGAGAGGAGCCGACGGGCGTCGCCGGCCGTTGGGACATGGGGATGTTCTCGGTGGATGGCGAGGAGTTCGTGCGGCACGCGCGGTTTCGATTTTTGCGACGGCGATCTCTGTCTCTTTGATAGTAAATGCCGGCGAAGATTAACATGTTGAGCACTAGCAGTAGACAACCGACGCCGACGGTGACACCCAGCGCCGTCGTATAACTGTAGTAGTGGCGCGTCGCCAAACGCTGCAGAATTTCGGAGTCCTCGTCGTCGTCGTCGATCACCACGTCGACTTCAACAAGTTCATCTTCCGATGTCGTGTTCGGGACGCATTCCGTGTTGTCCCCGGAGGATAGGTGCGGATCCGCCATGGAGGCGGGATGAAGCGGTGGAGGAAGACGAGTAAAGGATTCCGGACGCACCGGTCCTACAAACATAAGGGAATTGTAAATCAACGTTAGACTGTACGCCCGCTTGTCAGCCGAGGCGGTGATATAAATTGTGCCCCCGAAATCTACTTCCAAGACGTGTTTATTGTGGAAGGAAGCAAAAAGAAAATGAAATTTTTCCGATTGCTCCCACAGAAGCGGCACGCCAACGGAGAGAAAAAGAAATTATTTACAAACATCGTCAACTATAAAAAAAAAGAATGGAAGGAGTAAATCAAAAGTACAATAAAAAAGAAAATAAAACGAAGGAGGAAAAAATTCGATGCGGTCCAATAAATTTCACATATCAAGATATAAACGGTTAGATTTGGACGGAACGCCGTTAAATCAGAATTAAGCCCTTCGACAATTTTAAAACGCGCCACCACTTCCCACCGGTGCCGCCGGAAGGTGTCAAATGAATAATCGTCGTTATTACAAAAGACAAGATTTACAAACGAGCTTTCGTTGTAAAAATTCGAAAGCTTCCCCCGAACCAGATCGGCAAACCGGAAAATTAGTTTCTCTGTTTATTTCGGGGGGAAAGAAAAAAAATCTCATTTTACGACTTCATTATTAAACATTATTACTTTCGAAGGCAAATAGGCCTTACGGATTTTAATTTTCGAATATAAAATGCGAAAATCTGAAATTACGACAATTTTATTATTTTTTGAAACATTTACCCCACGGCTCAAATAATGGAGATTTTAATTTTAATGTTTCGGAAACGACCCGCACATTTAATGCGATTTTATTCTTTTAGTAGCTAAAATTACAAGCATTTCAACAGTCTGGACCTGAGGGGGCTATAAAAATGCACTAAAAGCACATATAAATGAATGCGTTATGGGAAACACGTGGTAAAAAGCATTGTTTAAAATGCACGGACCGAATTTATTTATACATACAATCAGAGCTGGGCAGTATTCGATTTTCTAAATACTTTTTAGTATTCAAATCCTTTAAAGTATTCAACTTTTTCTTATCAATTTTGGTGCGTAGAATCTAAAACAATTCGTACTTTTTCGATCAGACTTCTCAATCAAAAGTTATAGACTAGAAACCAATTTCGAAAGAAAATTCAAAGGGCTGTAATTTTTGAACTAGTAGCCCAATCTTGGAACTGTTTGAAATTATGGATTCTACAGGCCACATTCTATAAGAAAATTTTTTTCCGGGTCGATCTGAGACAATTTTTTTTTCGGGCCTCAAAAAAAGGCAGTGTATAACCTTCCTTTTTTACCAAAAATCGACTGCACCAAAATTTCTCGGGAAAACACTTTTTCTTATTAATTTTGGTGCGTAGAATCCAAAACAATTCGTACTTTTTCGATCAGACTTCTCAATCAAAAGTTATAGACTAGAAACCAATTTCGAAAGAAAATTCAAAGGGCTGTAACTTTTGAACTAGTAGCCCAATCTTGGAACTGTTTGAAATTATGGATTCTACAGGCCACATTCTATAAGAAAATTTTTTTCCGCGTCGATCTGACACAATTTTTTTTTCGGGCCTCAAAAAAAGGCAGTGTATAACCTTTCTTTTTTACCAAAAATCGACTACACCAAAATTTCTCGGGAAAACACTTTTTCTTATTAATTTTGGTGCGTAGAATCCAAAACAATTCGTACTTTTTCGATCAGACTTCTCAATCAAAAGTTATAGACTAGAAACCAATTTCGAAAGAAAATTCAAAGGGCTGTAACTTTTGAACTAGTAGCCCAATCTCCGAACTGTTTGAAATTATGGATTCTACAGGGCACATTCTATAAGAAAACTTTTTTTCCCGGTCGATCTGAGACAATTTTTTTTTCGGCTCAAAAAAAGGCAGTGTATAACCTTCCTTTTTCACCAAAAATCGACTACACCAAAATTTCTCGGGAAAACACTTTTTCTTATTAATTTTGGTGCGTAGAATCCAAAACAATTCGTACTTTGTCGATCAGACTTCTCAATCAAAAGTTATAGACTAGAAACCAATTTCGAAAGAAAATTCAAAGGGCTGTAATTTTTGAGCTAGTAGCCCAATCTTGGAACTGTTTGAAATTATGAATTCTACAGGTCACATTCTAAAAGAAAATTTTTTTCCGGGTCGATCTGAGACAATAATTTTTTTTGCGGGCCTCAAAAAAAGGCAGTGTATAACCTTCTTTTTTTCCAAAAATCGACTGCACCAAAATTTCTCGGGAAAACACTTTTTCTTATTAATTTTGGTGCGTAGAATCCAAAACAATTCGTACTTTTTCGATCAGACTTCTCAATCCAAAGTTATAGACTAGAAACCAATTTCGAAAGAAAATTCAAAGGGCTGTAACTTTTGAACTAGTAGCCCAATCTTGGAACTGTTTGAAATTATGGATTCTACAGGCCACATTGTATAAGAAAATTTTTTTTCCGGGTCGATCTGAGCCAATTTTTTTTTCGCGCCCCAAAAAAAGGCAGTGTATAACCTTCCTTTTTCACCAAAAATTGACTACACCAAAATTTCTCGGGAAAACACTTTTTCTTATTAATTTTGGTGCGTAGAATCCAAAACAATTCGTACTTTTTCGATCAGACTTCTCAATCAAAAGTTATAGACTAGAAACCAATTTCGAAAGAAAATTCAAAGGGCTGTAACTTTTGAACTAGTAGCCCAATCTTGGAACTGTTTGAAATTATGGATTCTACAGGCCACATTCTATAAGAAAATTTTTTTCCGGGTCGATCTGAGACAATTTTTCTTTCCTGGGCTCAAAAAAAGGCAGATATTATTAACCTTCCTTTTTTACCAAAAATCGACTACACCAAAATTTCTCGGGAAAACACTTTTTCTTATTAATTTGTGTGCGTAGAATCCAAATCAATTCGTACTTTTTCGATCAGACTTCTCAATCAAAAGTTATAGACTAGAAACCAATTTCGAAAGAAAATTCAAAGGCCTGTAACTTTTGAACTAGTAGCCCAATCTTGGAACTGTTTGAAATTATGGATTCTACAGGCCACATTCTATAAGAAAAATTTTTTCCCGGGTCGATCTGAGACAATTTTTTTGAGGGCCTCAAAAAAAGGCAGTGTATAACCTTCCTTTTTTACCAAAAATCGACTGCACCAAAATTTCTGGGGAAAACACTTTTTCTTATTAATTTTGGTGCGTAGAATCCAAAACAATTCGTACTTTTTCGATCAGACTTCTCAATCAAGTTATAGACTAGAAACCAATTTCGAAAGAAAATTCAAAGGGCTGTAACTTTTGAACTAGTAGCCCAATCTTGGAACTGTTGGAAATTATGGATTCTACAGGCCACATTCTATAAGAAAAATTTTTTTCCGGGTCGATCTGAGACAATTTTTTTTGCGGGCCTCAAAAAAAGGCAGTGTATAACCTTCCTTTTTACCAAAAATTGACTTCACCAAAATTTCTCGGGAAAACACTTTTTCTTATTAATTTTGGTGCGTAGAATCCAAAACAATTCGTACTTTTTCGATCAGACTTCTCAATCAAAAATTATAGACTAGAAACCAATTTCGAAAGAAAATTCAAAGGGCTGTAACTTTTGAACTAGTAGCCCAATCTTGGAACTGTTTGAAATTATGGATTCTACAGGCCACAGTCTATAAGAAAAATTTTTTTTTCGGGTCGATCTGAGACAATTTTTTTTACTTGCCTCAAAAAAAGGCAGTGTATTACCTTCCTTTTTTGCCAAAAATCCACTGCACCAAAATTTCTCGGGAAAGCACTTTTTCTTATTAATTTTGGTGCGTAGAATCCAAAACAATTCGTACTTTTTCGATCAGACTTCTCAATCAAAAGTTATAGACTAGAAACCAATTTCGAAGGAAAATTCAAAGGGCTGTAACTTTTGAACTAGTAGCCCAATCTTGGAACTGTTTGAAATTATGGATTCTACAGGCCACATTCTATAAGAAAATTTTTTTTCCCGGTCGATCTGAGACAATTTTTTTTTCGGGGCTCAAAAAAAGGCAGTGTATAACCTTCCTTTTTTACCAAAAATCGACTACACCAAAATTTCTCGGGAAAACACCTTTTCTTATTAATTTTGGTGCGTAGAATCCAAAACAATTCGTACTTTTTCGATCAGACTTCTCAATCAAAAGTTATAGACTAGAAACCAATTTCGAAAGAAAATTTAAAGGGCTGTAACTTTTGAACTAGTAGCCCAATCTTGGAACTGTTTGAAATTATGGATTCTACAGGCCACATTCTATAAGAAAATTTTTTTCCCGGGTCGATCCGAGACAATTTTTTTTTCGGGGCTCAAAAAAAGGCAGTGTATAACCTTCCTTTTTTACCAAAAATCGACTACACCAAAATTTCTCGGAAAAACACTTTTTCTTTTTAATTTGGGTGCGTAGAATCCAAATCAATTCGTACTTTTTCGATCAGACTTCTCAATCAAAAGTTATAGACTAGAAACAAATTTCGAAAGAAAATTCAAAGGGCTGTAACTTTTGAACTAGTAGCCCAATCTTGGAACTGTTTGAAATTATGGATTCTACAGGCCACATTCTATAAGAAAATTTTTTTCCCGGGTCGATCTGAGACAATTTTTTTTTCGGGGCTCAAAAAAAGGCAGTGTATAACCTTCCTTTTTTACCAAAAATCGACTACACAAAAATTTCTCGGGAAAACACTTTTTCTTATTAATTTTGGTGCGTAGAATCCAAAACAATTCGTACTTTTTCGATTAGACCTCTCAATAAAAAGTTATGGACAAAAAACAAATTTCGAAAAAAAATTCAAAGGGCTGTAACTTTTGATCTAGTAGCCCAATCTTCAAACTGTTTGAAATTATGGACTCTCAATCGATCTCGATCTCAGACATTTTTTTTTGGCCTCAAAAAAAGGCAGTACTTTTAAGTTATTCAAATATTCAAGTATTTGAATACTTTTCAATGTATCTGTATCTAGTATTCGCTTGTGCTGGACGTAAAAGTATTTAGTATTCAAATACTTTTTGAAAGTATTCTGCCCAGCTCTGGCCATAATATTGTCCAATTCTAATGTACGTACAATTCCTCTCTATGAGGACCATCTGCGTCCTCTTATCTTCTGTTAACATTGGTGGAGAGTTAAAACAACTTCCTTTGCAGTTCGCACAGGCAATGGTGTAAAATATGATAGCCTTCTTGCACCCACAGCAAGTACCTTAGTTGTTAGTAGAACAACGGCAAAAAATGACTTTTAAAATTCCCTTTGGAGATGATGGAGCTGTGTTCCTTACTGGATGAAGGTATCCATCTTCATTTCCAACCCCATGGTTCTGGAGGGGGTGATTTTTCCAATAACTGCTGAACTTCGAAATTTTTCAAGCCATTTTTTGCCATTGCATATGCCATCTGCTGAGGGAGCGATGGGTTTTTTGGAAAAAATGTATAAAAGTAAAATTGTAGAAAATTTTATGAGCTTTGGATTTTTTCCTACGACCTACCATTTTCGAGATATACTGAAAACCCGCAAAATTGTACCTTCAACCCCTCCCCTTCCTCCAGCGGCATCGAAGTCACTCGGAACTACACGAACTAATTATTCTACTTGACGCTTTTTGGCATAGAATTACTTGACTATTAATACAGGCAGTTCTTTTTCATTTCCACTATCTATGGGAATCTCGTAGACCGTAAGAGATAGAAAGTCGCTTAATGGGCACCGTTATTGAGAATGTTATGCTGATTAATTTTCCCATTCCATCTTTTTATCCCTTAACGCAAGGGCTAGAACCGCAAACCACTGATATTTTTTGTTGCATCTTTAATGTACTTTAATGTACAGCTAGTAGAACTTAAAATCCAACAAAAATTTGATTGAAATGGGATTACTAAATAAATTTTAAATAAAAAAAATACTATTGACTAATCTTCATACGTTTATTTTCAATGTATTATTGTAACCAATTTTTAAGTTTCGATTCAGCAACTTTTCCCTGATTAATCACTGCAGTGTATGATTCCCACCCGGATCTTCTTTGTCCTGCACGATCCACTGTAACGGAAAATTGATTAAAGTTTGAGCGTGTTACATATTTTATAGGTAACAAAAATCTGATGTTACTATGGGAAGAAATACTTTTGATTTCAATATCGTTCCATTAGCAACGTCTAAATGTTGAACAAGTAACGTGACTTACCAGGAAGGTCGATCTGAAGTTCCAGGCTCTTCACATCTACATTTTGGGTCCTTAGCCGGATGTTCGGGACAAGCAGCCATAACGGATGCTGCAAAAAGGCCCAAAATAACAAATAGTAGGAGTAATCTCATTGTGGTCAGTGTCGATACTGGAACGTTTGCTCAACAAGGGCCTTTATATCGCTTTCAAGAGGTTTAATCTTATCCAACTCCATACTAGAATCGTGTATCACTGACAAAAATAAAAATTCAAAACAAATTTTGTTTGTAGTATTAGCTTGGCAAAACATTTCAGGGGGTGATTGTTATGCTAATGGCACATTACGAGTATTTATTGAACACTGGGGAAGATGCCTTGAGAGTAATGTGGATGAAACAAAGGGTGAGTCAAACTATTTATTCACTTTGTTATGGAGATCGTGTTTGTACTGGACAGTATTTTGCTATATTTTAGAAGAGAAATCTATAACTATGATAGCATCGAATTAAACACTTTCCTATTCTGTCTGCATTGATTAGTCACAGAACATGCTCATTTTTAAGGGATTTGGTACTTTCGAAATTCCTCAACTTCAATGTATGGCGACTTCTTTGTGGCTGTCTCGACGAACTACACCTCAGAAGAAATTAACAGCGTATATATTTCCTCTCTCTCTCTCTCGCGTAGTTTAAACACTTTCTTAATTTTGGAAATTATGCTTTGGGTAAACAACAATAAAACTCTTGAAACGAGTGATAAACGATACCCTATCTTTTTGTCGTTTCGGGTTTCTATATTTACTGATATCAGATTTTTTACGTAATACCAATTTAGTAAGAGTAATATACAGGGTGCTCTGTACTCACTAAGATGTTGGTTAAATTGGAGCCAAGTTGCTAAATTTAAACCGGAATTTATTTAAAATTAAAGTATCTTTGGGAATTGTAGCTTCTAAGGATAATCTAGGACACCCGAGGAGAGGTTAAAAAAAATTGACACCCTGTATAGTATCTGGATCTGGCGACTATTTGTTGGAATATTATCATTTTTTATTCCTTAAATCCAGATAAAAGAACAAAGTACCCACAATGGCTTCCTTTTTACCACCCGCACGTTACTAAGGGAGGTACTGCATTGGGGTAAACAATTACCCCCCACTTTTTTTTACGAAAATAGACGATTTTAAGCACCAGGAATCCGAATCGGTCGGTCTGTCAATCTCTACTCTCATTTTCGGCGAAATGGCTGGACCGATTGGAACCAAATTTGGTACGCATATTCTTAGACACCAAAGGGCAGAATCGCGCATGTGCGAGTGTATCTATGCTCGCCACAGCAATTTTTTTTATGGATTAGGTCCGAAGATTCATAAACAGCCCTTAAATTATATTGCTTCGCGTATCGAAATTAATTAATTTATATAGTGTAAATGCACTAAATTAGTTGATTGATGTAAATTAATAATTGACAAAAATATGAATTTAGTAATAGTAATTAGCGTTACTTGCGGGTAAAACTTCCGCCGTGACGCACGTTTTTCACCACACGGCATGCACATACTTTTTTTTTGGTTGCTTCACGGGTTTCTTCAGGAACTCCGTTTGGTACAAATTATGTTGCCAATTTTTTTAGGGATCCATTTACACTATACAGTATGAACTGCTAATTGCAAGTAAAATATGGTAAAATCAGGGGTAAAATACATCACCTTGGTATGTATATTCTAGGATAAAACGAGTCTGTCCGACGTTGTCGAATGAGACACGATTTTTGAGATTTCGAACACTTGTTACACGCTGCATTGTTCGAACGTATGTCCGAAATTAATTAACAAATCAATGACGCAGGGCCACAGACTCTTGATTTTCACTTTAATAGGATTTTACTTAGTTTGCGCGCACGTTATAGGTTATTATGACGTCATCATTAAGTATGTTTACATAGCATCATGCAGTCAATGGAAGAGAATACGTATGTAGGCAACCATACAGAGCGTGCTGCATTTTGGGTAGGATACCCATTAAATCCACGACTTCTTACCTATGTTACGATCTTTTGCTGACAAGGTGGACATTATTATTTGGGCGTGAAGGAAACATAAAAAAAAATCGTTTTTTTTTGTAATAACAACGCCCGCAGTACTTAATATCAGAAATCGAGAAGCGACTGCGATCTTGACTTACTCCGTACTCAGAGAGCAGAGCTACCGTTACTTTCATGTCAAAACGATGAACGTTTCGCAGTACTTTCGAAGCTGTGTAGCAGTCGGTATTAAAACTAACGGCTCTTTTTATACACTAATGGTAATCGAATCGAAATTTTGTGCATATAAAATATATTACGCACACAACCAATCGATATCAGGGAAACCTTCTTCGGGACAAAAACCCTAGAATAGCTCACGCAAATACACGAACTAAATTAGCAAAGACAACAAATGGGAAAAACCCACAAAACATTTCAAAATCGGGTCACGAATTTTAAGATTCTAGGAACGTCATATTTTTTCCCAAAACATTAACTTACATCGTTCCAGTTGGTTGATGAATGTCGCAAGGGGGATAAACTTGATAAGCTTGGTATCCGAATAAACCGGAAAACATTAATCTGAATCATCAGTTACCCAAATATCTGCCGCGACTGGTAAAAGTGGACCATCATTATCTCTTTCTCGTTCAAAATAAAAAACAAGATGAGAAATAAGTTGCTTACTTTTTCTTGGTAAACCTGATGGCATTTGTGGGTTATGAAACTTTTGGCGCAAAATATCGCTGTGAGACTTACGGAAGTTATGCTTCCATGATTGATCGTTTTGAAACTAATGAATTTTAAGCGGCTAATGTAGAAAAACGCGATAAACAGCTTGACTTGTCGCAATGTAAACGTAAACTAGCCTGAAACAAAAAAAAACCTTTCACTAAAGGTGTTCGGTTTCATTTTTTAAATAACGCAGAACTCAGTAACATAAATACGGAATTCCATTTTTGTTTTGTTAATACGTTGGCATTACAGTATTCCGCAAAAACACAATGCCCCCCATCCACCCACCCATTTTGTATAGGGGTAATAGCAGTCCATGTACTGTAACCTACCCCAGTAGCCAGTACATAACCACAACTCCATGGAAACCTCGCCCTAGGCGCCTTTGATTTGTTTCATATAGGAGTAGTAAGAGGCCAGCCACCGAATTTGTGCAAGAGATTTCGGGATGTCTGCCATTTTGTCGCGGTATGTTTGAATTTTTAACTGTGATTTTAAATACACAGGGTGTAATGATACTTATACACGGGGTATTTGTGATCGATGTTTTTGTATCGTGGCAATAGGTCTGCCATTTTGTTTAGATGAGACCAAATTGAATCGTGTGTGTCGGTATATTTAAAATTAAATAAAAAGGTAAATACTGAGTCAAACTGGGTCATTGGGTCAAAATGGACAACTGAAGAGAGTATGAAGTGACCCAGTTCAACCCAATGAGTTGACTCAGTCGACCCAATGAACCAGTGACCCAATCCAACTCGGCTGAGAAGACAAAAAAGTAAAGGGAACCTTTTGAACCATGCGGTATTTTGGCAATCTTTCAATTGGTTCCAGCGACACTGTCTAGGTATACCTACCAAACAAGATATTTTATAATTTTAAAATGCAATAAGAATAAGTGGAATGGAACAATGAAAAACGAACACACTTATGAATATTTATTACCATTAGTTCACATTCTCTTTGGATCTACACTAATCATCTCTTCTGCAAAATCTGAGAGATAGTCAATTAGAATGTCCTGATAGCATTCTAAATACTTCATCAATTCATATCCGTTCAATTCGGCGCAGTGCCGCGAAATTGGTTCGTCTATAGCAAACATGGTCTCTTCATAACATTTCATGAACAAGTCGATGGGATAGTAATCAAACTTATCACTTTTAATCGCGACTTTAAGCTCCTCCAGACTAACGCCCGTTTCATCCAGACACTGCGCTATAAAATTCATGGCGCCTTCTTTGTTATCTTCTATCACATCCGCCGTCCCCTGCGAATTTTTCCGGTTAAACTATTTAAAGTTCAAGTGCACGTACCTGTCCAAAGAAGATCTCTACGAGCAAAATTAAGGCGAAGACGGACTTCATCTTGGCAATCGAAATGGAAATGTAAATTACACGTGCGTAATTTACAGTTGGAAGTATCAATCTCATTTCCTTTGATATTGGTTTTGATTACACGTTAATCAGTCAATTATTTAGTCACTTATTTATTAATTGCTCCGGAATGTTTGTTTTACAAAGCACGCAGTGTTACAATACAAATTTGGGAATGTTTGTCAAAAAAGTTCCTAGCATATGATTCGAACCTTAGGCTTTGGTTGACAGGTCTCCTTTCCATCTTCTTGATACTTTACTCGTTCTGGAAAGAATCGAAATGGTTCCAATATACACTTTCTTTTT